TTTACTGGACCTGTTGTAAGAAAATTCTCAAGGAGGATACGGGTTGAGATAACCCAGGGAAAGGAGAAAAAACGGGTTGTTACTTTTACTTTTGGGGTTTTTTTATTGGATTGTTTACTGAGAGTCCAAACAAAATATATGCTAGTTAAATGAGAGACTGAACTCTCTTTAGCTCCATAGAGAAAGAACATTTGCTCTCCCAACATGAATCTGGAGTATACCGAGGTGGCTCGGAATCACTGTGGAGCTGCCTGAGGAAAATTTCCTCTAGGGTGTGAAGTGATCTTACAGGGAGATGCACCACATCTGCCTGGTCTGGGCGCATGCGTGAAAAGGCTGGCTGATCCTCCAAGTTTTTCAGGTTCTACAGATTCCAAAGAAAAAGTAAAATTAACATGGGAAATCACGCCTCCAAGGTCAATAAGCCCATGACAGTCAGCCTCCCATTAACACTCCTGTAGGAAGACGGCTGGATGAGGATCTTTTGATAATCTTTTGCCTCCACAATTAGAAAAAGGCAGCTATGTAATTAGACAGAATAAATAATAAGTGGAGTTACTTGATCTCTGAAGTTTCAAAAAGAAGATTTAGATAGAACATTTAGACACCTATGATGTCGTTTAGGTGGCAACCCAAATATTTGAAGTATTAAAAACAGCTGTCCTTATTTTAAAAATGGGAAGGTCATTTGGAACTTGACTGGTCAAGGACAGATATAAATTGTAAATGTCTCCGAAACAAAATTTGGATCCAAATTGTGTTCTTTTATAAACTAGTGAATTTTCCTCACGGCTAAAAGGTCTCCGTTTCTGTGTCTCTATGTATGCATGCTGTAAATGTGAGATAATTTCCTACTTCTGTATGGTATTGTTAAAATTAATTTAAAGGCAAACACTTACAAGGATAGAGTATTCAAAAGTTCACAGGAATATAGATACTAACTCAAATTATTACTTATTGTCATAGGAAATGACAATGATAGGTTATATATTTTTCCTATTTAATATAAGGAACATTTACATAATACTACATTTAGGGGTGCTTTGGGTCAAGATGGAGGAGTAGATGAACTGTGCTCGACTCCTTCAGGATTGCATCAAAATTACAACTAAATTATACAACAACCATCACTGAGAACAACCAGAAGTCTAGCTGAACAGAAGTACTATAACTAAAGACATATATACAGAAGAAGCCCCCTCAAGACTGGTAGGAGGGGCAGGACATGGAATGGGTAGATGCCACATCCATGGTGTAGACATTAGGACTCTGGAGGGAGGCCCTAGCACCACATGGACTCCCCAGTTCAGGACACCAGTACCAAAAAGAAGAGTCCCCTTATATCTGGCTGTGAAGACCAGCAAGGATTACTTCTGAGAAAGACCAAGGGCTGCTATGGACCGAGCTGCTGCTCTTAAAGGGCCCGTGCACAGGCTCACTCACAAATTCACTCGCTCTGAGCTCCAGTGCAGGGGCAGCAGCTCAAAGTGCCAAGGACATACAGCTAGGAATTCAACTGACTAACTTCAGGGTGAGAGATGGAGGAGCAGATATTGGGTCAATTCTCTCTGGATATAGAAGCGCAGGCAGGCACCATCATTCCTTTGTTGAATTCTCCCCCGACCAGCTGGCTGGCACAGGCAGATGTCAAATCTGTGTCTCCATTAACCTGGCTAACAATGTTTGCCCCGCCCAGGTGATTCCCTGAGACTCCATCCAAACTGACTCACTTGCCCTGCCCAAGCCTCTTCCAGTGGCTCGGCTCATGCAGCAGTCTTTCTCAACATCTCTCAAAGATCCGCAAGTCTCAAACAAGCAGGTGACAGCCTTTGGTGTGGCTTGTAGCTCTTGCTAAGCGGCCCAAAGCCCAACATAGGTGGTGAACAGTCTCAAGCTGCATCGTAACTCCTATGAGATGGCACCAAGGCTGGCTTAAAGAGGCAGCCACTCTTGGCCTGGAACATTGCTTCAACTAAGTGGCCACAAGTTCAGCACAAGTGGCAGCCAGCCTCGGTTCACAGTCCAAATGCTCCCAAGCACCTCCAAGCCCAGTATAAGAAGCAACCAACCGCAGATAACATTTTAGCTCCTACAAAGCAGCCTCAAGCCTGGTAAAAGCAGGTGCTGACCTTAGCCTGCACCGGATACACTCTCAAGTGGTTCCAGACCCAACTCACCCGGTGGCCCACTTCAGAACACAGCAGAGCATCACCCTACCAGCTCCACAAATGATACAACTGAAGGGTGGACTCGGCTGAGAAAAAGCAAAGACCTACAACCAAGATTACTCTATCCAGCAAGGCTATCATTTAGAATCAAAGAGAGATCAAGAGTTTCCCAGACAAGAAAAAGCTCAAGGAGTTCATCACCATCAAGCCAGTATTACAAGAAATGTTAAAGGTACTCAAGCATAATAGATCAAAAATATGAATAGGAAAATATAAGAAACATACAATGTCTCACTAACAAAAGCAAACACAGTAAAAACAGTGGATCGACCAACTAGAAAGCTAGAACGAAGGTTAAAAGACAAAAGTAGAAAGATCATGTGTAATTACAAAAATAAATTAAGGGATACACACAAACACACACTAATAAAAGTAAAAAATAATGACAAAAACATAAACATGGAGGGGGTGAGCAAAAATGGTAACGATTTTAGAATGTGTTTGAACTTAAGGACTATCAACATAAAATAGACTGTAATGAACACGGCTTGGTAGATATGAAGTACGCAGCTACCACAAACCAAAAATCTACAGGAGACACACAAGAAATAAAGAGAAAAGAATCTCAACATTACACTATACAAAAGTCATCAGCATACAAGAGAGCAAGAGAATAAGAAAGGAACACACAAGAACTATAAAAACAATCAGAAAACAATTTAATAATATGGCAATAATTACATATATGTGTACATATATATACGCAGAGATATATATACACACACAGATATATATACACACACACAGATATATATATATATCGAGATATATATGTATATATATATCAATAAGTGCATTAAATGGACTAAATGCTCTAATCAAAAGATATAGGTAGCTGAACAAATAACAATTTGATTGAAAATGGGTAGGGGGCTATATGCCAACTATAATTGAAAAATAAAGAATTATTAAAATAAAAAAAATGGGCAGAGGACCTGAATAAACATTTCTCCAAAGAGGACATACAGATGGCCAACAGACACATGAAAAGAAGCTCAACATCCATTAATCATCGGGAAACGCAAATCAAAACCACAATGAGCTCTTACCTCACACCTGTCAGAATGGCCATCACCATTAAATCAACAAACCACAAGTGGTGGTGAGGATGTGGAGAAAAGGGAACCCCCGTGCACTGTTGGTGGGAATGTAAATTGGTACAGTCGCTATCAAAAACAGTATGGGAGTTATTCAAAGAATTAAACACAGAACTACCCTATGACCCAGCAACTCCATTTCTGGATATTCATCCAAAGAAATCCAAAACACTAATTTGAAAAGCTATATGCAAGCCTATGGTCATCACAACTTTATTTACAACAGCCAAGATATGGATGCAACCTAAGTGTTCTTCCATAAACAAATGGATAAAGAAGATGTGGTACCTATATACAATGGAATATTATTGGGCCATAAAAAAGAATGAAATCTTACCATTTGCAACAACATGGATGGAAGGTATTATGCTAAGTGAAATAAGTCAGAGAAAGTCAAATACTGTATGATTTCACTTATATGTGGAATCTAAAAAAAATAAATGAACAAACAAAACAAACTCAGATACTGAGATAAAACTGATGGTCTTCTGATTGGGAGGGGGCTGGGTGAAAAGGGGAAGGGATGAAGAAGTACAAATTGGTGGTTACAAAATAGTCATGGGGATGTGAAGTACAGCATAGGGAATAAAGTCAATAATACTGTAATAACTATGTACGGTGTCACGTGGGTACTAGACTTATGGTGGTATTACTCCGTAAGGTATATAAATGTCTATTCACTATGTTTTCATGTGAAACTAATATTATTGTATGTCAGCTGTAATTGAAAAATAAATTTAAACATAGCAATAATAATACATTTCATATTTTACTCCTGGGGTTCAGAACTAAGTTGTTTCGGTGATATCACATCATTCATGATGGTTCTGTGCTACAACGTTCTCATCTAGTAAATGCTTCTTCACACTAACTCTTTAACTCAGCGGTCACCAAACTTTTTCTTAAACGGCCAGCGAGCAAATATTTTAGGTTCGGAAAGCCACCCAGTCTCTGCCACTACTGCTCCATGTTACTGTGAGACCGCGAAAGCACCCAGAGGCAATACTGAAACAAATCACTGTGGCTTTGTTAAAAACCAGACTTTATTTACAAAAAGGTAAAAAACGAGATTGGCCCAAGTGCCATAGTTTGCCGACACTACCTTAACTTCATAACAACTAACACAACCACAATCTCCCTTTGTGACATCCTTGAGAGAGAGAGATGTTAACCACGTTTTACATGGGCCAAGACTAAGGCTCAGAGAGGAAACAGCTAGTCACATGGCTCGCAGACCAGTTGTTAAGTTCGGTTCACAAAGAAGATGCAAACCTCCCATCGCCTGAAAAGCTGCACAGGTATAAATGCTAATTTTAAACTTTCTAAGGAATTTGTTCCTTGAAGAAACTTACTCTAAATTATTTTGGAATATAAACCAATAAATCACTTTTTTAATTTATCTTTTATATAAATATATATTTTCGTGAATTAGATTCTTTACAGAAAAATTCCCCTGCAGAATGAGGCATAAGCGATATCTTTTGATTGTTTTCGGTGAGGAAGAAACGAGACTGGGGGCGAATGTTTCTGTATCTTTCCAGAGCGGCCTGCCGGGAGTGTGACACTGGACCAGAGAGGAGAAAGATGCTGAGGTGCCCTGTCCCCACAAACCGAGGAGGCCGCTCCACCTGAGACCGGCCTCGAGAGGCACGTGGCCTCATAGCCAAACACTTACCAATGTTAATCTCGTCATCAGTCAGCGTGTCTCCGATGAAGTCGAACTGAAAGGACTGCAGCGTCTGGGAAAACTTCTGAACAGCTGTGGAATAATCTGGAAAGGAACGGAAACAGGAGAAGTGGTCAGCGTCGCTGTCCTTTGAATGATTTCCTCACTTCCGTTAGGGCAGAGGGGGGAAAAGTGAAAGCAAGTGGTCCCAGAAGGGAGCAATTTACAGTGAATGATGTTAAAAAAAAATCACAGTATTAGGAGACGAGTTGAGAATCCACAACCACACATTAAAGAGGAAAGAGGACAGTTTAGGGAAGTCCCTCTTTTAAGTTCTGGGGCATGTGTGACCTTCGGTCCCTGTCCTCGCTGAGCTGTGCTACCCAAGGCCTGGAAGACCTAAGGCTGTTTAGCTGAGTCTCCTTAAGCCTTTAGGGGCAGCAGTCCAGATGCTTTCTCACCTCCTCACGGAGCAAACAATGGCAATCAGCCCACAGAGAAAAAATCAGCTGGGAGAGCTGGAAGCCAGGTGGTTGTCTGCGTCTCAAGGACCTCTTCCATGACAACATGAGGCACATCTGGACTTTCTACACATTAACCAGATGACAGCCTGGGCTAGGATACTAAATGGCAGGGGAACAAATTTAACTTGCTCACAGTGTATTCACCAAGGGATGCAAATTAAGGAAGCAATGAATGGAAACATCTGAGGGTGTTCTTATTTTTGGTCAATGATGTTGAATTTTATGGTACAAAAGTTTAATGATGATATAAAACGAAAATTAACAATTAGTTACCCTTTGACAAATTATCTTTATTGAAATTTTTTAAATACGACCTTGAACAAGAGGTCCGGCCACCCCTCCACCGTCGCTACTCCGAGTGGTTCTCAGACATGTCCTCTCATTGTCACCTGCAAGCTTGATGGAACTACGCATTCCAGGTCACATCTCAGACCTGCTGGATCAGAAGCTGCGTTTTTAGACAATCTCTAGGGGATCAGTATGCTCTTTAAATTTTGAAGAGCATGGTATCGCCAACTAGAGTAACCCATTAGAGAGCATCCTGGAGGAAAATTCAAGCTTGCGGCTTCTTTGTGGTCCCTTGTCCCTATTTCTTCTTTCACTCCCTAGTTGCGTCATCCTCCACCTTCACATCTATGAGATACGCAGGCTTACTGAGGGTTTTTGCCCTCGGGCTAACAGAAAGGGAGCCCATGCGAACAACAGCATCTATTCCTTTCGATGACAAGCTATCGCGGTTATGCTATCAGGGTTAAATAAACACAATAAAACATGTTCAGGCATTTGGCCAGGACAGATTACCCAGCCAAGAATTGTACCGTCTTGTTTATGTCCCATTTCCAGAAGTATTTATTTTCAGTATTTAGAGCCCTGACCCTCTGAACCAATCATTGGCAAGAATAAGTAATAATAATAATAATAATAATTATTATTATTATAAGGTTATCATGCTTTCTCAAATTTCTACACTTGAGAATCACATTTCCCACTTCAAATCTGGGCCACATAAATGTGAGAGGAGCATGCACACCCTGCCTTCCATATTTCGTCAGCAAAGAGAACAAAAAACTGGCTCCGTGTCTGGAAAAAGATTGCTTTCCTCTGGCCTCCTTGGCCAGCAACAGAGAAGGGCAAGCCCAGAATTCCACATGTGCTCTCTGTTTCATTCAGGGAAATTACATAAAAAATATTCATTATATCTCCCTTTCACACATGCCAGGATTTCTTCAATTTTACTTCAGTCAAACAAGGTACGGTTATTAATCATTCCTCTTTTAGAATTAACTAAACATTTCAGAAACTACAAATAGTATGGTTTTCAGCATTTACAGTATTCTGTAAACAATGGCATGCAGTAAGGGAGGAGTAACATTCATTCCCTTTTTACATTATTTGCGCCATTTCGCCTTCATTTACTCTTCCCCACTATCCAAAGGTGGGTATTACTATCTTTACTTTATAAACAAACCAAAAAAATGGGACAATGCAGATAAAGTACATTCATAAATATGAACAACCATAAACTAACAGCTCTTCATGGGAAGGTATTATTTATTTGGCCTCTGTATTGAGGAAATATACATATTATATATATTTTATATATAATATATATATATATTCATATATTTTTATATATAACTGTTAAATTTTATTGAACTTCAGTACTCCTCGAAGTCCGTAATGTGCTAATGTATTTTAGGAATCGGTCTCAATGTGGCTTCTTCTGTGTGTCCTTAGTTATAGGACTCCTGCTCAGCTAGACCTCAGGCGATTCTCGACGATGGCCGTTCTGTAGTTGAGTTGTAACTATGATGTGGCTGTGACAGGAGGCCAGCACAGTGATTACCTGCTCCACCATCTTGACTGGAAGCCTCATATATTTTAGATAAATGAGATGGGTAACTACTGGATTTCAAAGAATCAACAGAGAACCTAGAAGTACTTCTTGTGTATGGGACATTTCATTGTCCTATCATCCTAAAAGCTAAAGCATCACTCTAAACTGTATAAACTCATCATTTTATCCTCCCCAATACTTACCTCTCCCTGGCCACCAACTCATTATCTTGTAATTTTTCAAACTATCTTTGAGAGTTCTCTCCCTATCACCTTCTAATTTATTGATGTATTTCTATGATGTTTTTCCCTCACCTTTTCCTTATTCTAGAATGTAGTTGGGTAATGCTTTTAAGGCAATTGAAGCTTCTGGGAATGAGGTAGAATATAAAGAGGATTAATTAGTTAATTAATTAATGTTATATATATACCAATTTTCTTTTTGTCACTATACTTTCTATGGAATCATACAGAATATTCTCTTATTTCTAATTTATTTCAGTCTAGACAATGTCTTGGAAATACATCTATGGGAAATCCATTTTTGTGGCTGTATAGTATTCCATTGTGTAAATACGCTATAATTCATTCGTTGCCCATTCAAGAACATTTGTGATGTTTTTAGTTTTTCACTATTGTGAATGAAGCTGTTATAAATCCTCATGTACGTGCCTTTCTGGGACATATGTTTTTATTTATCCCAAGGAATACCTAGTAATCCAATGAATGGTTTCTATGGTTAACTGCTTAACTATATGTTAAAGGTCATGCAAGAAAAGGTCAAACTATCTCCTAAAGTGATTATATCATTTTGTATTCCTATCGACAATGTATAAGAATTTCAGTTGGTCCACATAATTTTTATTTTAATTTTAGTCATTCTAATGAGTATGTAATGATATCTCACCGTAATATTAATGTGCATTTCCCGATGACTAACAGTGCTGAATATCTTAGTATATACCTATTGGACATTTGTAATCGGTTTTTCATGAAGGGCATTTTCACATTCTTGTCTGTTTTATAATTGGGTTGTTTGTCTTATTATTGAGCTATAAGATTTCTTCATATATTCTGGACACAAGTTTTGTCATATACATGTATCATAAAATCCTCTAAATTTACTAAAGCTCAACAGTCTGAGGGCTGTATATTCGAGACAAAAGACTGAATCTTGGTAAGAACAATGGACTGTGTTATACACTGTTATCCTAATCAAATCACCCTCTCTCCAGCTCTATGGCAGCATTGAAAAGCAACAGCCTCACAATCACGGTAGCTATGAAAACCAACAGTTTTGCAGCCACTAGAGAGGACAGAATTGGGTAGGAATTTCAAAAGACTCCCCCCTCAAAGAATTACCACTATTTGTCCAGTTTCACAGGTCCATTCTTAGGGCTTGTTGTTGTCCTGACCCAAAACCCATTCCACGTAAATAGTGCTGCCATCGGGCCAGTCATTAAAAGCAATCATCTGAAGTTGTTTAAAACTGTGGTGGCCTGTGGTGATGCGCAAGTCGAAGTTATCAAGAGATTGACCAAAGCACTTGGAAAAGTAATTAAAGAATGATGAATTGGAGAATGACATGCCCACAGGAAGCTTGCAAAGCTGCAACCTATTCCTAGAAATCTAGAAAGACACATACATGCAAAGGATTGTGTGCACACCCCGAGCTGTGTGAACACCCCCACGAAAGACTTGAGAAGGCCCTAACCTCTCACTTACAGTGGACCTTGAAGCCCCGCACAAGTAGGGAGAGAATGGTAAGGCAGAATTGTAAACTGCCTGGCTAAATGTGAAAGCATGCCATAACACACACATACAGCCCTTCAGCGAAGGCTGGGAGACACACGGCTTCAAAATATTTCATCAAATCACTGTCTAGTCCTTAGCTGAACAGTAAGGAAATCTACCAAAGACCTTAATACAGAAGTAACTTAGGAGGTTAAAAAACAAGCAAACAACAACAGACACAAAAAACCATGGGGAAAGGGGGAGAACCTAATTTCCAGAGTTGTCACATTATATTATTTTAAATGTACACTTTCTAACAACAACAAAAAAATAGGAGCTACACAAAGATACAGGAAATATTGGCCCATACAAAACAAACAAATAAAAAGGTAATCAATAGAAACTGTCCATGAGGAAACCCAGACACTGAATTTATGAAACAAAGTTTTAAAATTTGCTATTTTAAATATGTTCAAAGAATTAAAACCATGTCTAAAGAACTAAAGGAAAGAATGAGAACAATGAATGAGAACAAAGAATGAGAACAGAGAATATCAATAAAGAGTTTGATGTAATTTAAAAAGAACCAACTAAACTTTCTAGAGTTAAAAATTACAAAAATTGAAATGAAAAATTTACTAAAGGGGCTCAAGATTAGATATGAGTGAGACGAAGAAAGAATCCATGAACTTAATGACTGGTCTATTGAGATAGCCCAGTCAATAAAACAGAAAGAAAAGAATGAAGAAAAATCAACAGAGCCTCAGAGAATCATGGGAGGCCATCAAGCATAGCACCACACGCATAATGAGAATTCCCAAAGAAAAGCAAGAGAAAGAGGAAGAAAGAATATTTGCCACATTTGATGAAAAGTATTAATCTGTACTTCCAACAAGCTCGCTTGAAGGAAGATAAACTCAAAGACATACACACCTAGAAACATCACAAACTCTTAAAAGACAAAAGAAACAGAATCTTGAAAAGAAGCAAGAAAAAATGACTCATCGTATA